TTTCGGCCCCCACCCTTCTCCACACGTTGTTGGCGGGATTAACCACAAGCAATCTATTTCCCCTTCTTTTCACCTTTTTTTTCTTCTTCCTCTTTTTCGGTCCCTTTCAGTTCTCATTTTTTCCTTTTTAGCGGGGGCAGGGGGAGGCAAGGGCCTTTTGCCTTACCCCCACCCTGATCCATAACTTGTTGGCGGGAAAATTGCAACTGATACCCCCTTCTTTTCTTTTCTTCTTCCTCAATTTTCCTTCCCTTTATCTCCTCTTTCCTTTTTTCTTTCCATTTCCTTCCTTCTCTCTTATTTTTTTGATGGGGGGGGGGGGGGGGGGAGGCAACAGCCTGGGAGGCGAGGCCTTTCGCCCCCCCCCCTGATCTCCTTCTTCCCCCTTTTCTTTTCTTCTTCCTCTTCTTTCTTTCCCTTTCTCTCCTCTTTCCCTTCTTTTCCTTCTCTCTCTCTCTCTCTCTCTCTTTTTTTCCTCCTTTTTTTTTTTTTTTTTTTTGTTGTCCTCCTTTTTTTCCCCCTTCCTTTTTTCCCCCTCCCCCCCCCCCCCCTTCCCCCCTTCCCCCCCCCCCTTTTTTTCCCCTTTTTTTCTCAGGGGGTGGGGGGGGGCGGGCCCCTCGTCCCACTGGATCCGCCACTGCCCAAACCAATACTTACCAGATGGTTATGTTCTGTGGCTGTATCACGGTTATGGAAACCACTCGTTCATCCGCATGCATGCAAAAATCTTGTGAGTAGAGTCTATCGGATGACGGGAATGAGGAAAAAAATGCGTGTGATGGTGTGACGCTATATATGCACTGCTACTAGCTGTGCGGATCGAATCGGCCGGAGCGAACTGAGGTACGTGGTTTGCTGTTTCACGAAAGTGTCATTTCTGTCTACACTAGCTTGGATGATGGTAATCAAGATTCGATCTACGTTAATCTCGAGAAATTAGCTGGAAATGCGACGCAATGACATGCTGCATTGCATTGGGATCAGAGTTTACACCCCGCAATGCCACGCCCTGGTATCTCAATGCCTATGTCGTGCGGGCGCGCGAGCTCAATTACCTCACGGGGAATCCCCAAAATATTATGGCAGCGCATAGTTTTAAATGACTCGGACGTATGACTCGGCCAAGTCCACTCCAAAAATAACTTTCATATAATAGAAGCAGAAAAATCAGACAAACCGACCACAAAAAGTTAAAGCAAAATCGGATAACTAATAAGAAAGTTATGAATCTTTGATGACATGAACATTTTTGAAAATCACTAGACAAATTGGCAACTCACTCATGAGTCTGTGACGTCATTGCGTTATATTGAGAATATAAATTTCCCATTTTCCCCCAGAGAATCTTATTTCCTCGCACCAGCATCCAAGTTATATTGGTAGTAATATGTTTTTGGATGCACTAGTAAAGAGTTATTTTTTTCAGTTAAATCATGAAAAATGTGATCTGTGATAAACTATTTATAGAAGAATTAATAATTATGAATATACAATATTCAGAAAATAGTATAGATTCTTCAAAGTTCATAAAAGATTTGTAAGCAATAAAGTTTTTTTTCCTTTTGCCCCCCCCCCCCCCCCCCCCCCCCCCCCTCCCCAAATTTGAAAATCGCGCAGACCGATATTTCGATCCTGGGGGGGGGGGGGGGGCGGGTTAGTGAGCATTTTTACTTTTTGATCAGCACCCCCCCCCCCTTGAGCAAACAAAAAGTTGAGGGGGGTTAACCCCCAAAACACCGCCCCCCACCCCCTCCTCTTGCGTACGCGCCTTTACAGGGTATAGCACTCAACTAAATTCCTAGCTCTCCATATCGATGAACAATTGAAGTGGAAAACTCGTATCAATAATCTATGCAAAATATTGTCAAGGAATACTGGTGTAATTCGTAAATTGAATTCTGGTCTTCCTCTCCAAAGCATGCCGAAAGCATGTTACTTATTTTGTATTCAAGATTATATACCTCATTTTAAGATTCTTTACTAATCCTGTCTTCTGATTGGTTGAAAATGCAGTCATGTTCTTAACCATGCCCGCTAATTGAAATTCATAGTCATTTTTCCCGGCTCTACCGGTTTATATCCATTTTTCATAGCACTTTTTCCCCCGGCCCCCCCACTCAGAGGTCGGAATGACCGCATGCGTGTTGCCAAAATGTCCGGTAAAGGGGTACTTTTCGAGCGACAAAGTCCGGCCCGAGAATTGTAAAAAAAGGGGTGTATTTGACTTTTCACCCGGAGATTTCTTTAAAAAGGGGGTGTTTTTCTTTTTTTCTCTCATCTCTTTGGACTCCTGAGAAATTATTCCGAATTTAGGGGGGTACATTGAGCATTTTTCCTGATTTAGGGGGGTCTCCAAGGCAGGAAAAGCACGCGAAAAGCCCGCGAAAGGGGGGTTCGGAAATGTTGGCAGTCCTCAGATAGGGGGTGCTTTCAAAAAAAGGGTACGAGCATATGCGTACCCTAAATAACACTGAGTGGGGGGGGCCGGGCTTTTTCCATGGCTGTGAAACGTGACGTCATTTTGCTGCGACCCCCATTTTGGTTTACGTGTTACCGTATAAGTTTCTTTTGTGCGATGACCGATGCGCAATACCGTTAACGGTGTTTGAGTGCAATTCGATTTTGGTCGCTGTACAAAAGTTACTGTTCGTTTAAACGTGTTTGGTATTCCCTGTTCTACTGGAGCACAGCTTGTTGGATTTCATACTGTACACAAGTTATTGTTGGTGTTAATATTCATGACTTCAAAGAGATGGAAACCTAAATGGGTGAGTCAACACATTCCTTTTTTTCGGTATATAAAATATATATTGACTGCTTTTAATATTCGAGGCATAGTTGTTTCTATAGGGTCTCGGGAAACTCACAACCTGCTATGACCCCGCGGCGCAAGCGCCTTGGGGTCATAGCAGGTTGTGAGTTTCCCTTGACCCTATAGAAACCACTATGCCTCTCAAAGCAGTCAATATATCCTTATTATTGCTACCTTATATTAATTATGGTGTGCTTGCCTGGGGCAAAAATAATCTCTAATAGCACAATTAGATAAACTATTCTTGACTCAAATTAAAGTTTAAAGGGTAATAAGAACAATCTGTAATGCTGACTTTCGTGCTCATACAAATCCTCTTTTTTATCATCATAGGATTTTTTAAAGCAGGAGATATTTATTATATGCAATTGGGTTCCTGAAATGCCACAAGAGGTGCTAAATTCTGCATTCCACCCCGTACAAGGACAAGGTTTACTCTCAACACTTTAGTTTGCACTGCATGGACCAAGGTTTTGGTACACTCTTGACTCAGGCACTATAAAGCCATTCTGTCAGTGACTTCAAACGTAAACTGAAGTTATACTTATTGAATACTTATTTAGTTGATTCTTGGAATTCCCTTTTCCAATGGTGTAAAGGAAATAGAAAACTATGCTCATTTTAAGAGGAAATTAAAGGAATACCTAATACTTGACAGTCAGATAAGAGAAGTAAATGACATGTTATATGATTAAAATTTGTATTCTTCTGCCGGTTCATACTTTTTCATTTTGTATATACTTATGTTTTTGTACGTTATAGAAATTCTACAAATTCATCATTGTTTTCCTCTTCTTCCTCCACCTCTTTTTCTTCTTCTCCTTCTTCCTTTTCTTCTTGTACTTATTATCATTTCTATCATCAGTTTAATGTTGTTATTATTATTATCTTTAATAAGTAATAATTTTTCTTTTTCTTATCTGTCTGTAAATAATTATTACTATTTTAAGTTATTAATTTTATACATGTCTGTAAGGCAGGGGCGTACGCAGGATTTTTTCAAGGGAGGGGGGGGGGGGTTTGCTCCCGAAAATTTGAAAATCGCGCCGGCCGATAAGTCGCTCAGTGGGGGGGGGGGGGGGGTAAGCGGACACTTTTTTTTTGGGGGGGGGGGGGGGCAAGCGGACACTTTTTTTTTTTTTTGGTCTCGAAATTTCAAAATTTGACATTTTTCTTCGTTCGGGGGGGGGGGGGGGGGGGGGGTAAGGTCACCTTTTTTAGGTTAACCGTGGGTATAATTAAAAAATATAATAAAAAAAAAACCCAAAGGGGGGGGGGGGGGTTTTTTTTAGGGGGGTTTACACACATAAAAATACCAAAGGGGGGGGGTTGAACCCCCAACCCCCCCCCCCCCCCTGCGTACGTACGCCCCTGCTGTAAGGGACCCCACTGGAAATAAGCTCTCGAGCTTTCGTGGGTTATCCTTCAAGCTGACTTATTTCTGATCTGTTATTATTTGGAAGCTTGTCGAATAAAAATCAATCAATCAATCAATCTGAATTTTCAATTTTCAATTTGAACTTAAGTTCATTCCTCAATTTAGTACTGTATAGCAACTGCCGACTTACCTTTTCTTTTTTCTTTCCTTTTATCGCCTGTAGCTAGCCTTTAGCTTACAGTGAAAGTCTGTCCATTTCTTTTCCTCCACCCCCTCCTCTCTCTCTCTCTCTCTCTCTCTCTCTCTCCCCTCTCTCTGTGTCTCTCTCCCTCTCCCGCCCCCTCTCTCCATTATCTCACGTTATCACTCGTATTGCCCCCTTTTGTACATACTCTTCTCCCCACCCTTTTGTATTACTCCATTAAACCATATTTATAATCATATGGTTAAAGTTTATAGTTATTTGTTTTAGTACATTAACCGCCTTTAACGAATATTTCTTGTAGTAGGCCTAATCTACTATATAGGCTGGTTGTTTTTTGTCAATATGATATGGTTTTGAGGGACCTGACCTCTACTCGTCTTTCTTTTCACTTAAATGCATTATATAAACTTATTCCTTATAAGTCTTCTTTTTATAAACTCCACATGTTATATATTTGTTTAAATTGTATTATATACATTCATGTTGGAAGAAAGAGAATAAACTTGAACTTAAACTTGATAAACAATGATTATGTCGTGAGCAGACCTGTACGTAGTAGTAAATTGAGGATCGTGATTTGCCGCAGATGGCGTTATTCATATATTGCGTAATTTCTGTAAGTTATGGAATCAACCCCCGAATCAACCACGAATCGAAGCAGACGAGATTTTGCATTCCCTGGTTTTCTCCATCAAAAAGATCGCTGAAGATGTTTAATGTGGACTTCAAAAACGAGGATGAAGTCAAAGACTACATCAAGAATGTAGGAACAGAATATAGCTTCCAATGCTACAAGGAAAAGACACCCGATGGTAAGTGAAAAATTATATAAATTATGCTGGTGTCCATGGCCATGGCAGGCCAGCCCCTGGTTTTGTGCCCGGCTGGTCTCGGCGCTGCCGCAGTGGTAGTACTGTTGCTTGGCGGCGAATTTTTTTTCCGTACTCGAGAGAGCAAAAATCCCATGTGCGCATGCGCGTGGACTTATGATTTCTCTGCTACTTCCCATACGAAATGTACATGTATTCGCATGTACTGTGCACGATTCGCGTTCTACGAGTTAACGATGGCATAGTAGTCTTCAAACACAGACTCTGATTTGCCAGTTTGACAAATCAATATGCGTATGTGTCGCGATGTGCTTATTCAAGTCTGTGTAGTTGTATGATTCAGACCCAGTAGTGCATATGGAAATACATTGCAACTTGTATAGAATGGTATAGTAGTCTGCAAGCACAGACGCTAATCTGACAGTTTGACAGCATACTACTATGCCACTCTATAAGTTGAGGTGCATTTCCAATACACGCACCAGTAGGGTCTGAATCATAAAACTACTCAGACTTGAATAACACTATTTTGTCAAACTGTCAGATTAGCGTCTGTGCTTGCAGACTACTATGCCACTCTGCAAGTTGAGATGCCTTTCCAATACACGCACCAGTAGGGTCTGAATCATAAAACTACTCAGACTTGAATAACACTATTTTGTCAAACTGTCAGATTAGCGTCTGTGCTTGCAGACTACTATACCATGCTATTCAATTTGGGATGCATTTCTGTAAGCACTAAAATGTCTGAATCATACAACTACTCAGACTTGAATACTAGTACTACTACTATTGCTACGCACGATATATGCGTAATTGTTTTGTCAAACTGGCAAATCAGAGTCTGTGTTTGAAGACTACTATGCCATCGTTTACTCGTAGAACGCGAATCGTGCACAGTACATGCGAATACATGTACATTTCGTATGGGAAGTAGCAGAGAAATCACAAGTCCACGCGCATGCGCACATGGGGTATTTGCCCTCTCGAGTACGGAAAAAAAATTCGCCGCCGGGCCCTGGCCTGGCCTGGTGTGTTGCGCATCATGCATGGTAATTGGTATTGAATCCAGACCAAAGCAACTTTCAACTCATAAACGCTTCGGAATAACTTTGATAATACAGGATTAATAATTATTATGATCATTGGCTGTCTTAATTGAGGATTTGGATTTAGAAAGCCAGATGATTTAGTGAGTGTGCATCACACACGTAACGTACTAGATCTACTGCTATAACGTACTAGATAGTCTAGATCTATTGCACACAATAGTACAACAACTGCGGGTTATCACACATAGCTGCATTACTATCCTGGCTGTGTAGTAAAAGCTGTGCTTTTGATTCTCAACATTTCAAACACCACTGACACTGTACAAAACTCAACAGATTTCACTCAAAATCGGTACTTTAGTGACAATTGATGACACCTAAATAGCAGTTAAATACATTCTTTTTAACTTTAATACTGATGTTAGATTCTAAAATGAATAATTCAAAAATTCAAATTGTAAGTCTAGTGTCAAATTTGCCGATCAGCCCAATCGGTCCTATTGTGTGCAGTCTATGCAATATTGTGTGGTGTGTATATCTGTGTATAATAATACCTGCCTCACAGCAAGTATGCAGTGCTAGAAGTCAATACACATTAGCATTGACTCTCTATGCTTTGCTGGAGTGGCACTGCATGCACTGTCTGCACGTCAACGTAACTTAACTACCTTCTCGAGTGTCCATTTCTAAGCCCTAATCATGACATGGAAAGGTGACTCTGCTCTGAGTCTGACTCTCACTGAGGTAGCAAGAGAAAAATGCATTTGATGAAATGAAGTGCTTTGTATCGGTCTCCCATTGTGATTGTGTGGAGATCGAGAAAAGTGGTTTTTATGTCGTGATGATGCCATTTATTCTATGCAGGTTGATTTATGAACATGAGTGTGTGCATTAATAGGAAGGTATCAATTCTTCTCTTTTTAAAGTAAAACAGCCCAAGCCTATTTATTAATGTTGTCATTCTTTTTCGTCCCCCCTCTCTCTCTCTCCCTCTCTCTCTCTCTGTCTCTCTGTCTCTTCCCTTTTATCCTCTACATTTTCTTCCTTTTCTTCCCCTCGTTAAATCTTCTTGTCTTCCTCCTTTTCCTTTCTTTTCATCTTCATCTACATGTATCACTTTTTCTTCTCTTCCCTCTCTCCTCTTTCTCCTCCTCCTCCTTCTTCTCCTTCTGTCATCTTCTTTGTCTCTTTCTTATCCTCCTCTTCCTCTCCTCCTCCTTCCCCTCTTTTGAATACAGGTTGTTTCAGACTTGGTGACTTCTTTGCGGGTGTAAAGAATGACTTCCCCCAAGCAGCCAAGGCCTATCAGTTGAGCTGTGATGACTTTGACCATCCTAGAGGCTGCAGTAAGACTGGGGCTTATTACCTCTATGGAAAAGGTAAGAATCGGGATCTTGATTGGATTTGATCTGAATAATGAACTTAAGTTAATAACTTATTCTGAATATGAATTGAATTGGTCTGAATTATTAATTTAGTTTAATCTGAATTGTGAATTTAATTTAATCTGAATTGTGAATTTAATATAATTACTTACGGGTAGTCTGAATATGAATTTAATTTTGGTCTGCATTTTGAACTATCGCATTTCGTGTTATCTATGTTCAAGTCAAATGTACTATTCTGTATTTATTTGTATCTTATTGATGTTTATAATCTGTAATTTTGTATTGACATGCAAATGTAAACAAATTCCAATAATTGGACAATAAATTTGAATTGAATTGAATCCTATAAAGTGACATTGAGTCAATACCCTCTGCAGCTGCAGGAATGTACCCAAATTCACTTAAAAAGACACCCCTCCTCCCCCCTCCCCCCCCCCAAAAAAAAAGGGGGGGGGGGAAAGGTTAAGGGCAACTCTTCATCCTCCTCTTTCTCCCCCATCTTGTTCTCCTTCTTCCTCTTCTTCTTCTTATATTCTTCTTCTTCGTCTTCTTCTTTTCTTCTTCTCCTTTTTCTTCCCTCTCCCTTCTCCTCCCTCTTCCTCTTCCTCCCTCTTCCTCTTCGTCCTCCTGCACTTCTTCTTTTTCTTTGCCATTATATGCCCTCATGGTGACCATGCGGTAGGAATACTCCCCAGAGTCCCCAGGGAGTGGAGACAGTGTACATGAATGAATCTGATGACCGGGGTAATAATATCTGTACAACACTTAGAGATGGTATTTCATATTAAATGCTGTTTAATCCCAGATTATTGTTTTTATAAAGTTCCACTAAACAAAACAAAAATTCATTATCAATTTTTTAAATTTCATAATGCAGGTTTTGAGAAGAACAAGGAGAAGGCTCTTCATTACTTCATCAAAGGCTGTGACCTAGGCAACCAAGATGCCTGCTTTGGTGCAGGCTCTGTCTTCATGTCATCCAAGAAAGGTACCCCAGACTCAGAGTTAAAACAAGACAGGGACAAAGGGCTCAAGCTACTTGAGACTGCGTGTAAAAAGGATCACCAGGCGAGCTGTTTCAATCTCAGTGCTGTGTACCTCAAGGGGTTAGGTGGCATGGAGAAGGATATGAAGAAGGCGATTGAGTATTCAACGAGGAGTTGCGAGCTCGGTCACATGTATGGATGCGTCAACGCGAGTAGAATGTATAAATTAGGAGACGGGATCGCAAAGAACGAGGCCTTAGCGAATAAATACAAGGAGAGGGCGAAAACGCTTCACGATGAAGCTAAAGAGACTAACAGACAGTTGCATTTTGGACAGACGTCGTGATATGATGGAAAAGCTTGCTGTTTACAAGTCTGATGGACTTTGTCTCCTGTAGCAAAACCCAGGGCTTGACCCATCGGGCGCCCAGGGCTCAAATGGACGCCTAAACTAGAAGTCTAGAGTCAACATAGAAATTGAAATATTTACATTTGGCTTGTGCTTTAATACATGTGCAGAATTAAAAGCGGTCACTACAGACCCCCTTTCCAAAAAGTGAGTGTGTAGACCTGCAATACCAGAGTATATGAACATGTAATGTGTGTCTGTGAGATGTTATTGTCTTTTGATGAGCTACCCAAAATATCATATTCAGCTCTCTAAAGACAAGCAAAGAAATATTTATATTGATTGATGAAGTGAATAATTACACAAATACTTGTGGGTGTGTGTGGGGGAGGGGGGGGGGGGCCTTTTATGCAACTGAGAATTACACCAGATAGGAGGGGGGCATGTATTTAGGATTTGCTCTACATCGACAATGAAACAATATTCATTTATAGTTTGTAAAGGCTATGATTGAAATTCTACCTTTGTATTTGTCCGTTGATGACATGCCTTTGCCTACCGAAGTTCGAAATTCAGATGTTATACTGCAGATGTTACTACATGTATAAATCCTTTTTTTATGCCAATAAGCTGAAGCAAATTTAAAATTTCAAGATTGTGACTCAATAAGTAAGAGAGGTTTACTAACATATTTCAATTTTATGCATACTTTTTAAACAAAGATTGTTCTTGACAACCTGAAAGCAGGCATTTGGCTTGCCCAGCATAGCAACAAGTAATATATGCTGACTATATTCCAAGTATTGTAGTTCATTCATTAATAACAGGCAACTAGGTCCCAATGAAGGAAACATCCATGAGTTGGAATAGATTAGTGAACCAATTTATTATCCGAGAAAGTTTGGCCCTAAGCTAGCTGCAGAGAGAGTTGCAGCCAATAATTGATCTGCAGGATGGAAAATGGAATAAATAAAACAGACCCCTGCAGTTACTGCTGTTTAAGTGATTGAAAAGTATATACATGTACTGTCCATTTTACTATGAGTTTTTATTACAATATTACAGTTTATTAAACTGTTTGAAGTGAACAAGATTATTCTGTGTTTCGATTTGTATTGTTGCATGATACCTCACTTCAGGGGCGGATCCAGCCGGCGGCAAGAGCGGGGGCCCAAATCCGTGAGAAAATATTTAGCGGCGACTCTGCCAGCCGGTGAATAAGCGGGGGGTTTTGGTTGTGATGTCCTCTCCCCCCCCCCCCCCCCCCATCTTCATAATAGCAACACACAATCAAGTGCATGACCTTCAATTCCATTTAAGGTGGGGTGTTTCTTTTTTGGGGGGAGGGGTGGAATTGTTTGGTTGTTTCGTTATGTCATTGTTGAACATGTCCTGCTGTCGTAGGAAATCATCAATTTCTGTAGTTTCATTTTGGATGCAATTCATTCTTTATTCAAATTAAAAAATGTTTCCTCCGGGTGTAGAAAATATTCTTGTTGCGAATAGCCTGTATACTTTTACTAAATCATTTCTGTTAAACCAAAAACTTGCTCATTAAGCTGTCACAATTTGATCTCGACTGTCATTTTTCCAGCATATTGCAAAATTTTCGAATTTCCTTTTTCTTTATTACTACTTTTTTATCAATCACTTTGAATTCAATTAAATGTACACTGTACATGTATTTTTAGAATGGATTTTTTTCTTCTTCAAGAATTTAAACCAATTGTGCAAGTTGGAAACAAAAATGATAGGATTATTTTCTGTTTTTACAGCAATTAATATCCTCAAACATCCTTGCACAGATGCACTAAAGGGTTTGTTGTGGTTCGGTTTACAACCAGTTTGTCTACTACCCAATTGAATTGGTCTATTCCCATATGGTCTACACCCAGCCTGTATAGTCTAATAATCATTTTGTCTACTTATCATTTGTTCTAATTCCCAGTTTGTCTAATGCCCATTTTGACTATCCATACGGTCTAATAATCATTTAATCATAAATATAAACATTAAATGATTATTAGACCTTATGGATAGGAGACAAACTGGGAATTAGACCAACTGGTTATCAGACTAAAAGAACAATACACAAAATGGGTAGTAGTATGAATAATTGGAGATTAGACCAAATGATAAGTAGACAAAATGAGTATTAGACAACGTGGATAGTTGACGGATAGTTGACGGGCTCGGTGTAGACAATATGAGAATAGACTAATTGGGTAGTAGACAAACTGGTTGTAGACCAAACTGCAATTCACCCACACTAGTATAAGTATTCCTAGCTTCTTGTAATGCTCCATTCATGATGCCTGCTACTTCCTGGTTCAATTTTTAAAAAAATTAGACATCCATTTACAACTTTCTTTCACACAAAGACATCCTTTCTTTTTGGAAAGGAAACTGGGGATAAAATAGTTGGTTTAAAGGTATAGACCAGTTTTGGAAACACCCCCTTCTCTAAAAACAAAATGGAAGCTCTTATTACCAATCATGTGTAAGAATACGTAATACAAATTTTGCCGGGAAACCGCCTACTAATTGATATATTTGGTAAATTATTATATCTATCCGGACTGTATAGATATCGCCTAGTCCCATATACATCTTTCTGTGTAAAGTGCTTGTAACTTTACCAAGACTGGGCCAAATTTCTTATCATTTTGATGATTCCAGAACCTTGCATTACACACCAATACTTTTATGCTAGATGATCAACCTTTTCTGATCGATTCCACAACATTTCTTTGACAATGCAATCGCATGACCAGAACTGGTCTTAACCTTTAAACAGAATACTGATAGTCATAAAAGAAAACAAATAATATCACATAGAAAATATTGTTTCAAGACATTTTATTCAACATTTGTTGAAATATTCATGTAAATTCTATTTTTATGTACAATGCAAGATACACAGTTTCCATGAGATCTCACCAAAAAAAAAGAAGAATGGTGATATTAATTCATACAAATGTTTCATGAGAGGGGTGGGGCAAATCACATTTATAATAGCGGTATCTTTTCCATTCCTACTTCTTGCACAGCACTTGTATTGACTTGCTAAATGTAAAGTCTTCACTTTATGAATACAGCATTCAATGGAGTAAACATGTCCATGATGCCCTTGCGTTACAATGCACCACTCTTAACCTCGATCTCTGTCATAACTGTCTTCATGAGCAAAGTAATATTACTGAGATTCAGGAAGAAGACATTGATAATGCACCACTCTCTCTCTATCTAAAACTTGCTTGATCTTTATAGGCAATACAGTATTTGCATTCTAGAAGGGTTCCTATTCCTTCATGTTGACGATGCACCACTCTTCTCCCTTCTCAATTCAAAAATCCATTGAAAAGCAGTATGATATTGGTATTTGGGGACTGAAAGAATAGGTCCCATTCTTTGCTTCCATAATTTGTTATGCATCATTCTTATCCCATCCCTATCTGAAAATTATAGCTCAGTAATATGATACTGGTATCAGGGGCAGAAAGAAAGGCACCCATTCTTTGATACACTTATTAGCAATGCACCACTCTTATCCCTTCTCAATCTAAAAAATCTGTTGATTAGCCTCATGGCATTGGTAAAGAGGTCACAAAGAAAGGGTTCCCCATCTTCTTTTCAACTCTCATTCTCATTTATCATGCACCACTCTGATCCCTTCTCAAACTTAAAATGATTTGATTACCAAGCAGAATTAGTATTTAGGTCCAAGAAACGGTTCCCATCTTTTTTGTTTTACTCTCATGCACCACTCTGATCCCTTATCAAACTTAACATCACTTGATTAACACTAAGAACTAGTATTTAGGTCAAAGAAAGGATTCTCATCTTTTTTGTTTTACTCTCCTGCACCACTCTGATCCCTTCTCAAACTTAAAATAACTTGATTAACACTAAGAATTAGTATTTAGGTCTAGGAATAAAGGGTCCAAAGTCATGGATTTTCCAGTATTTGTAGAAGGCTGCCGCACCTCCTAAAGCTGCACAGGACCCAGAGCCAACTCCCATACTTTGCACTGTGAGAGGAAGAGAGGAAGAGATGGAAATAGATAGGGAAAGTAGGGAAGGGGTTGGGGAGATAGAGAGAGAGAGAGAGAGAGAGAATAGGAGAGAAAGAGAGGAAGGATGGAAAGTTGAAGAGAATCAAATTGAGGGAGAGAAAGAGAGAATATCAAGCAGAGGGATGAAGACGCATATAGACATGGAAATGTCGAGAGGGAGAAAAGAGGATATAAAAAGATATAACAGATAATAGGAGAGAATGAAAAAAAAGGATGGGAAATTTAAAAATAAAGGGACGAACATAAATAGAGGGAGAGAGAGAGAGAGAGAGAGAGAGAGAGAGAATATCAAGCGGAGGGATAAAGACATGTATAGACATGGAAATATCGGGAGGGGAAAAAGAAGATAAAGGATATACAAAAAAAGAAAAGAGATAACAGATAAAAGGAGATAAAGAGGATGGGAAATATAAAACCAAAGAGGCGAACATGAAATGGGAAGGTGAGAGAGAGGGAGAGAGAGAATTTCAGGCAAAGGGATAGAGACACAGTTAGAGATGGAAATATGGAGAGGGAGAAAGGAGGACAAGGATATAAAAAGGAGAGAAAGAAACAGAGAGAGAGAAAAAAAGGAGAGGGACATAGGAAAATAAAGAAACATAAATGGAGGAGGGAGGAAAAGATGGAGGTAGATGGTAAGTGAGAAGGGGAAAAGAAAATAGAGATGGATATGGAAAGAAATGGAGAGATATGCAAAGGAAAATATGGAGAAAGGAAGGAAGAGAGAGAGAAACAGTTAGTCTTCCAGATAAATATTACACACAACATCAATTTGTTTTCAATGTTCTTTGTGAAAACTAAATTCGAATTACTATGCCAACCATGAAATGAAATAGGCACATTTCTCATATGAACTATTATCTTAATCAAAGGAAAATAAAGTTGTAAAATGGCATTCTCCTCAAAAATATGTCTTGATAAGCCATGTTACTAGAGATCCCCCAATCCATACAGCTACCCCGGTATAACAAGTCTTAAAACTAAGGAACATATAACACATGCTAAATTTCAATAACAAAGTTGCTCTCAGCCAACTTAACGCCACGATTTCAGTAGCTTATAAAAGATACTGTAACTGGTTATGGATGACAAGTTTTATGAAACAGGGCCCTGACTTAGGAGAGATGAGGTACACTTTGGGGGTTCAGTGACACATGATCATCATCATCATCATCATCGTCATCACCATTACTATCAAGATCATCATCATCATGATCATCATCATGATCATCATCATGATCATCATTGTTTATATGTCTATATAACTTGAAGGCAGACCACCTTATTCGTCCTCG